TAAAATTTTATTGTAGCCACATTTTAAAAATTAAGAAAAAAGGTGGGATTAATTTTAATAATATTTTATTTAATCCAATATATCCAAAACAGTTATCTCAAAATCCAATCAATATAAAACTTACTGAGATTTTACATTTTTTCACCTCAAGTCTTTAAACCCAGTGCAAATTTTACACTAAGGGCACATCACATTTAAGAGTAGACACATTTCAAGCACTCAATAGCCACATGTATCTAATGGCTACCATACTGAACAATGCAACTCTAAAAAGTTCTTATATCCATGAAAAATGGAAGGCAGGATCACTTGCTTCACTCAGTCTTTGGAATTAAGAATAGGTACTTAGAGGAGAAGATTGGAAGAAAGTTGACCAAAGTGACTTCCTTGGAGAACATGATAAAATAGATAACTGGTCTTCATTCAGTACAATTAATGTTATCATTTAACTGTATTAAGGGTTACAACAAATGTCAGGCTACATGACCTGTTTCCTTTAAGAATAAGCTAAAAAAATCATTTGCACTGTGAAGCCATTAATGATTACACCCATCTTTCCTTTTCTTTCACAAGTTAACATTAATTCTAGTTAGTATACCCATCTTTCTATATACCAGTTGGTCACTTGACTTTTATCTCTTTGCCTCTTCTTAATTTTCTGCCCTTATACATGGTAGCCAGTGAGGTACAGTAGAAATTGCATAGGTTATGAAGTAAAAAGGCAAAGAATTGCTCCCTCAGGTTCAGTCCTGCCTAATGCCTCTTGCTCTCATTATCCATGTCCCTACTACTGAAATTACCCACCCACAGGGCCAGCCAATGGGACAGAGGCAGGATACATAACAGGAACCTCAGCATTCCCATGGGTATAACCTAGAACTGACAGCACAAATGGACATTTCCCTGCTTACTGTGTTGAACCAGTCCATGACTCTGAGCTCCTACCTGGGGATTCTCTGCTGAATATTACAGAATAGCTCAGGGTTCTTCTTCACTGCTGTGATTTATCTGCTGGAGCAGTCTCTCCCTTGATTCTGGATATTGCCTAAAGCCCAAACTTGATCTTCCTGTCAGCCCCTGAGATCAACCTACTCAGGTTTCTTGTGGAGGCCATACACTGCAGCTAGTTCAGTTTGCCAGCCTCTCATTGCTTCTTACTGAAGTTTCCACATAACAACCCTCAATCCCACACCACCTTTGAGCCCACTAACTATATGAAAATCTACTTACTAATTTGCAAAGTTGGAGTTAATAACATTTACCTTATAGGATTATTATGGGGATCAATAAGTCAATGCATGAGCAAATGCTTTGCCAACTACAAAGAACTAAGTGTTCGATATTGAGATTTTTGCTTAGAACTTACTACATGCATGGCATTAAACTCATAAGTAACATTCTCTTTGAAACTTTTAAGTTCAGGGGTATAATGCAGGGTATGAAAATTTGTTACTTAGGTAAATGTGTGTCATGGGGGTTTGTTATACAGACTATTTCATCACCTAGGTATTAATCTGAGTGTCCATTAGTTATTTTTCCTGATTCTCTCCCTTCTCCCACCTTCCACCCTCTGATAGGCCCCAGGGTGCATTGTTCCCCTCTATGTGTTCATGTGTTCTCATCATTTAGCTCCCTTATAAGTGAAAACACGCAGTACTTGGTTTTCCTTGCCTGCATTAGATTTCTAAGGATAATGACCATCAGCTCTATCCATATCCCTGCAAAGGACATGAGCTCATTATTGTTTATGGCTGCATAGTATTCCATGGTGTATATATACACTTTTTCTTTATCCAGTCTACCATTGATGGCATTTAGGTTGATTCTATGTCTTTGCTACTTTGAATAATGCTGCAATGAACATCCATGTTCATGTGTCCTTATAATAGAATGACTTACATACCTTTGGCTATATACTCAGTAATGGAATTGCTGAGTTGAATGGTATTTCTGTCTATAGGCCTTTGAGGAATCACCACATTGTTTTCCACAATGGTTGAACTACTTTACACTCCCACCAACAGTGTATAACTGTTCCTTCTTCACAATTTTGCCAGCATCTGTTATTTTTTGACTCTTTAACAATAGCCATTCTGACTGATGAGAGATGATATCTTGTTGTGGTTTTGATTTGCATGTATCTAATGATCAGTGATGTTGAGCTTCTTTTCATATGTTTTTTGGCCACATGTATGTCTTCTTCTGAAAAGTGTTTACATCCTTTGCTCACTTTTTAATGGGGCTGATTATTTTTTCTTGTAAATTTGTTCAAGTTTCTTATAGATACTGAATATTAGGCCTTTGTCAGATGCATAGTTTGCAAAATTTTTCTCCCATTCTATGTAATCTGTTCAATCTATGGATAGCTTATTTTGCTGTGCAGAAGCTGTTTAATTGGATCCCATTTGTTAATTTTTGCTTTTGTTGCAACTGTTTTTGGCGTCTTTGTCTTGAAATTTTTGTCCATTTCTATATCCAGAATGGTCTTGCCTAGCTTGTCTTCCAGAGTTTTTATACATTTGGGTTTTACATTTAAGTCCATCTTTAGTTTATTTTTGTGCATGGTGTAAGGAAAAGGTCCAGTTTCAATTTTCTGCATATGGCTAGCCAGTTATCCTAGCACCACTTATTGAATAGGGAATCCTTTCCCCATTGCTTACTTTTGTCAGGTATGTTGAAGATCAGATGGTTGTAGATGTGTGGTCTTATTCCTGGGCTTCATATTCTGTTCCATTGGTCTATGTGTCTGTTTTTGTACCAGTACCATGCTGCTTTGGTTACTGTAGCCATGTAGTATGGTTTGAAGTCAGGTAGTGTGATGCCTCC